CGAAAACTCACAGTTCACAATGGGCTCAAGTTCAAAAGGCACACATCGACCGCACGGCCTCGGTCGATGAACAAAGTCACAACAACTTTACTAAAACTCTTCGCTCCCATCAAAGGCATGCGTGTATGAATGTATACGTACGTGAGTGAGGTTTTCGAACTGTTTGCTTCGAGCTACACGAACGGCACAATAACAACTTTTGACAAACTCCTGCGATTCAAAACACTCGCTTACTTGAACACATGGCGACAAAAGTCCAATGGTCACATCACGTGACCGACAAAAATTCTCCCAAGGGGAGTCGGGAGTGACAGCAGTGCCATAGAGTGACGGACTTGGTTATTCCGATCGTAGGATTTTACGCCTCCGTTTTCTCTGTAGTTTTAGTTTTGACTGACAATACAGTAGAAGCTAATATCAAACATGCAAGAACGTTCTTCGTCAAAGTTTCCAAACACCTCGAATTTCGTCAAAAATCCCCCCTGCTCGTCTTATTTTCAACTCTCTTTCAATTGGAGTTTCGAAACGTTGTCTTACAAAATAAGTCTACCTCAACAGAGCTCTTCCTATCACAAAGCAAAAAGATTATTCACAAAAGTTCACTTACGGCACTCCTCCATGTTACATTTTTGTTCTTCCTCTGCTGGTCCCAGGTTTTGCTCGGTGCAGTTTGATCCTACACCAGATGGAGGAGGATTAGTGCAGGTTCTTGTCCGTGTCTGAACTCCTCCTCCACATGTTACACTACATTCTCCCCAGCTAGACCAGTCCGTGTAATTACCAGGTACGGCTAAAAAAAAGTACAAAGGAATTATTTATTTGAATTCAACTCAAATTTCTGTCACAAGAGTACTATTACATCTATGCGCGTTTAACACTTTCAACTGAGAGACACCGCTCACGGCAGTCTCCCTTGTTACATTCTTGTTTTTCCTCTGCTGGTCCCATGCTTTGATTAATGCAATTTGGCCCACCTCCGGATAGAGGAGGATTGGTACAAGTTCTTGTCCGTTTCTGAACTCCTCCTCCACATGTTACACTGCATTCTCCCCAGCTAGACCAGTCGTTGTAATCACTGGTAGCAACTTAAAGCAAGACACGGCATTGAATAACCAGCTCCCAGTTGACTTGATGGTCCAGCTGGTAGGGCACTAAGTCGGTATCGCAGAGGTCACTGGCTCGAATTCCGTTCAAGCCTTTTTTCGCAAATGCGGTCTTAAAACTTGTGTCATAACCTGCATAACTGCGGCCGTCTTTCAAGTTTAAAGACATTTATTTTCATGTAATTTGCAAGTACTACTCACCACACTTCTGTGTGTTACAGTCTTGATGTTCCTCTGCTGGTCCCAGGTTTTGCTCGGTGCAGTTTGACCCTCCAGCAGATGGAGGACGATTGGTACAGGTCCTTGTCCGTGTCTGAACTCCTCCTGCACATGTTACACTGCATTTTCCCCACTCAGACCACTTCGAGAAGTTACCGAGCATAGCTAAAAACAAAGAAAGCTATCGAAACAACTAAATAATAAACATGATATGATTGGAAGCAACGCAATGGGCAATCATCCCATCCAGCGTGAAGTTACCAATACTGCTAACCGCTTCATGCAGTACAGAAACCAGAGTCAAGCTCAGGCAACTGCTTTTAAGCAATTGCCTGATATTGAAGCTGTGTTCTTTTTACAGGAAAAATATCAATTCGTTTCTTCTTACGACACTCCTGCGGGTTGCATTCTTCTGATTCTTCTGATTGTCCTAGGTTCTGCTCGATGCAGTTTTTTCCGTTATTTCTAGGTTCGGGGTTGGTACAATTTCTGAAGTGCCAACGCAGGCCCCCACCACAAGGCTCTGAACAGTTGGACCACGCGCTCCATCCACCATATCCACCACCGATATCTAAAAATATATGTAAATTATCAATACACGTGAGAAGTCAAAAATTTTCTAAATTTTGTTCCCCTTAATCAGATTTCGCCATTATTCGTTATTAATTTTCATCTACCTGTGTCATTAAATAAAGCGTACTTCGAGCACGCAAAATGAGGTTTCAGCATTTGGCTTAGTAAGCTTTTTTCTTCAGTCGATTTGAAAGCAACTTGAGACATAAAAAAAACTACCCCTCGAATTGTAATTTGTAATGGCTGCAATAGATAAAAATAAAACTGTATATAAAATTGCATTGTAGCACAACTCTTTTGAGAAGAGTCAAGAGAAAATTCTTACTGTTGGCAGCTTCTCGAATACTATCCAGGCGGTTGGTAAGATCTTCAAAACTGTTAGCAGCTATCACTCGGTCCCTATCTCCAGCGATGGTCTCAAGTTCTGATTCGCTGATACTTTTTCCAATGCCCACGGCTACACGATGGACGTGTTTTACCTATCATCGTGAAAAGTAAGGAGTGATGAGCACTCTTTTATTTGGACACAAGTTGGACAAATGCTGCACTGCCCCAGTAACGCATATATGTCTATGGATGTACATTTGCACTCCGAAGTTAAAACTAAGCGTATTCGCTGCTTTCACTCATGTATCTGATTTTCGAGCGAAAGGTAAAGTTTAAACTTATTTTCACTCGTGCGTCGTCCACAGTCTTAGGCCTTGCCCTTTTTGCTTCTCGCCTGACGGTCTAAAAAGGACTTGTAGTCTACTGTTCTGTTAATTTGTTCTTTTAGCCATTAAAAAAGTGTCTGTATTTAATCATTTCGCGTTAGTAAACGGATATTCAACCATGAATTCATTGCTGACCTCACATCCCCGCAATACTGTATCATAAGGTTCAGAATTCCTGTGTGTGCCTCCGTCAGTGAAAATGATCAGGACGTTTGGCGATTCAGGTCGATCGCCACCTTCGGTGACGAAAACGTTCTCGCAGACCTTCTTCAGTGCTCTGTCCGTCCGTGTGGGACTACTTAGTTTGTCCTTATCCTTCATTTCCTGAATAAGCTGACCCAATGCCTCTTGACTGTAAGAATGTGGATCGTTGAGAGACAAGCGAATTTGAGCGCGACCAGCGTACGTGACGATCGAGATACGGGTTTTGTTTGCGCCAATATCATACTTGGAAATAAGAGTCATTATCGAGTCCAACATGGCGTCATAATGGGCTTTTCCTACGCTTTTGGTCTGGTCGATAACAATACAAATATCCAATGGAGAATTTTCGTTGTCTGATGAGATGACTGAGAGGAAAAAATATAATTTATATTTACAAGTTGCCAAAGTGAAACTTTTCACAAAGCATGCAGCAGAAGCAAGCAAGCTTGCTTGCTTGTTTAATTGACTGATCAAGTGATCAGTAGATTC